ACTCCACCAGGCTCTGCCGGGGGAGGGGGGAGCATCACGCGAGCCGCCCGGGCAACGGCGCCCCCCCTCCCCCGCCGCCACGGCCCCTCCTCCCCCGCATACCGGCTCAGGGCCCGAGTCGGGGCCGCCGCGGAGGCCGAGGCGGAAGCGCTCGGGGCCGGGAGCCGCGCTCAGCTGGAGCCGGAGCAGGCGCTGAGCGTCCCGGGCGCCCGGGGAGGACGAGGCCGGCGGCGGGCGCGGCACCCAGGCCCGCGCCGAGGCCAGCACCACCGGCCCGCCGGGCGCAGCGGCCGCGGAGGCCGAGTCAGGCGCTGCCGCCATCGCGCCGCCGGAAGCGGAAGCCCCCCGCGCCGCCTTCCGGAAGCTCGGGCGCCTCTTACCGGCAGCCGCCGCGGGGCACGACGGGAACCGTAGTCGCGCGCTCGCCTGCGGGACTCCGTGGTGGGGGGGGTCACTCCAGGGCGGAGGAGGCCGAAGGGAGCGCCGCTGCTCAGCCTCTCCGAGGACCCCCGGGGCTCACCCTTGGGCCGCCCAGCGGCCTTGCCCCCTTCCTCCTCCTCCTCCTCCTCCCAGCCTCAGGGCCCGGAGGAACCCCGAGGGAGGGCCTGTCCCGGGCGTCCTGTTCTCGGGAGCCATGCCCACGCCCAGGGGCAACGACACACAGGCGGTCCTCGACTTACAACTGTTCACTTAGTGACCGGTCGAAGTTACAATGCACCAGAAAAAGTGACTTAGGACCGTTTCACAATTACGACAGTGGCAGCATCCCGGTGGTCACATGATCAAAATCTAGACACATGGCAAGCAACCTTCTGACCAGCAAACTCAATGGAGAAGTCAGATTCACTTAACGATGGTGTTGCTAACTGTTGATTCACTTAACAAATGTGACCAAAAAAGTCGTAAAACATCTCTCACAGCCACAGAAATGTCCTGCTTGGTATCTTTCCTCCAACCACCGGCCCTTCTCCAGATTCCCTGGCGTAGCTCAGTTACAACCTGGGTGGTGGCTGCTTCTGTCGCTTGCCGTATCTTGGGGGTCTCCGTCAGTCCTTGTAGCCTTTTGAATTGGTGATGAGGCCGGACTGCGGGGGGGGGGGGGGGGGGCGTCTCCCTTGGCCTTCTGGGACTTAGAGGTTCTTGGGAAGAGGCAGCGGCGTCTCCCGAGGCCTCTTGGTTGCTGACCTCTCTGCCACTCGGGGGTTCAGAGCGAATCCCTTCCCTCTTCCTTGGATCAATTTCAGCCGCTGACTATCGGTCCCTCGGTGTCCTTTAGCCGCCAGATTGAAGTCGGAAGCCCCTTCTGTGTTCCGAGACCTGTTGAAAGACGCCCTTGCTTTTCCCGTGTCTGTTGCTGTCCTGGGTGTCTTTACAGGCGTTGTAGCACTGTTTTTGGTCTCTTCCAATCGGTCTCTGAAACTGTGAAGCTCCGTCTTGAGATTCCGGTCTTTCCTCGCTTTGGCTTCTGCCCTTGCCGATTTCCGTGGTTTTTTCCCACATCCCCTCTGCTTTCTTCTGTTTCTCCGTCTTTGGCAGTCTCCTGCCCCATTCCTCCTTAGCCATTTCCTTTGAGTTCGTTCTACAGTTCCTCTGCTTCTCTGTCAACCTCACAAGGATTCCTCGTGTTCTCCTTGGAAGTGGTGGGTACATATTCAAGATCCTGTCTTGATTCTCTCCACGCCATCAATTGAGCCATTGCTTCTTGTTTCTTATTCTGCCTTTAGGTACTTTGGACAATAGGTTGACCCCTTCCTCCTCTCTGGGGCAACCCCTCCCTCAAATACTGGAAGGCCGCTCTCCTGTCTCCCCTGGTCCCTCTCTTCCCTAGACTAGCCAGGCCCGGTTCCTGCAACCCTTCCTCCTATGGTTGAGCCTCCAGTCCCTTCATCCTCTTTGTTGCTTTTCTCTGCATTATATCCAACTTCTTTTTTTATATTGTGACCAAAGCTGGATGCAATATTCCGAGTGGTCTTACCAAGGCACTATAAAGTGACAGGCCCCAATTCTCCTCAGGCTTAGGAAAGCCCTCAAGACCTGGCTCCTCCCCACCCACCCCGGGCATTGGGGGGGTCAGTGAGTGGGAATCCCCCCCTGAACTTCCTTCTCTACTCCGTTGCCATTTCATACACGGCATTAAAATAGCCAGTCTGGTCTAGGGGTGAAGGCACCAGGCTAGAATGGGACGAGAGTTCAAGCCCTGCCTCGTACACGGAAACCGGGTGAGTTACTCTGTCTACTGACAGGACTGTTTTTGTGGGGGGGAAAGGGGAGAAGGAAGGAGGGTGAGGTATGTTGATCTCCTTGAGTTATTGATAAAAATAATAAAAGCGGGACATCAACAAATAAAATTTTATACTTCAGATTTTAGAATTTGTATTTGTATGTTTTTGCTGTTTTGTTTTATTCCTTCGTGGTTGATTGTGTATTTATGCTGCACCCTTTAGGTACGACATAACTTCCCAATAAAATTTGTCTCATTAACAGAGTTACATAGTTTGAGTCGAGCAGCCTTATAAAACTTGAATGAATGAATACAATTTAGTCATGGAAACCAACTGACTTCCTTGCTTGCCCTTAACTTGAATTTCTACATCAGCAGTTCACTCACTGTTTCCCACTCAGCCCTCAGCCAGGTGTTTAGTGCTGTAGTTGAGCTGCTCCGCTTGGTTTTGGCACTCAAGAAAGGCCCCCTGACAGCCCCTATAAAAGCACTTCTGGGCACCATAAAACACCCTCCCGCCCCCCCATCCCATGACTGCAATTCAAGCGCCTGGGAACATATTTGCGTTTACCACGTGATCCCCATGTGAATCTTCTGAGGAAGGCTGCAAGTGGCTGGGGGGGGCGGGCATTGGATTTGTGCTCAGTTCCCCCAGTGCACTGAGGGATTTCCCCTCCCCGGGCCGAGAGAAGGCCCGTCCCTCCTGGGGGTGGTGGGAGGCCCAATGTCAGACTCCAAAAGACAAGACAAGACAAGGATCAACCAGGGAGATGCTTCCAAGCAGACTTCTTTATTCGTCCACACTGTTAGGAATAACAAAGGTTACCTAACGTAGTTTGGGTAAAATAATATATATAAACTATGATAGTAAGTTTAAGTGTGTGTCACTTTAAACTGCAAAGCATGTAATTTTGGGTGCGGTTGTGAACCACCATAAGAGGGAGCAAGAGAACCTGCTCATTTGCTGACGATTTTGATGAATTGATGATTTGTTAACTGCGTGTTTCCCTACTGCTGAGTTGCTGAAGGAAGAAAGGAGGTGTGACTTCTTCATATCTCTACTGCGAGGAGATATATTCCTGGACTGATATTTGTAAGTTTACTGACCTCTTTTTCGACACTGGAATTTGCAACTGAATAATCCCCGGACGGACTGAACTAGTGAATGATATATGGACTGTTTGACTATGCTATAACTCTTCCTGGAATAAACTGTTTAACTAGCACAGTGTATCTGTTTTACTGAGTGTAAGCTACAAAAACATTTATCTCACATATTTGGCCTGCCTGCCTGCCTGCCTGCCGTGCAGATTCTGCTAGGGTGCATCCCTAACACACACCTCTAGGCAGAATCTTGCCGAACTGAAGCAGACTCTTCCCTAGGATGAAGTGTCTGCTCTGGGAACTCTTAAGGAGGAGCCATCTTCACCCCCTTTCTCTCACACAACGTACCTGAACTGAGTTGCCTCTGGCTCCTCTGGAATCCACCCCTTTATCTTCCATCACCCCCACCCCTCAATGCCCAGGAGGTCCCTTAATCACCGCTGGGAGAGCCAGGATTGTGGGCGCTGAGCAAAGTGGCTGCGTGGCACTTGCTTAACAACTGCTTCACTCAATGACCGAGATTTTGGGCCCAGTTGTGATTGTAAGTGGAGGACTACCCACAGTGGCTATCTTGTCTGTTTCTGTGACTGCCGGGAGTGGGGTGGGGTCCAATGCTGGCCACTGGTGCTCCTTTGCCCCTTGGGAAGGTCACCAGCCTGGCAGCCGCCTGGGCTGCTCCTCGTTGGAAGCGGCCATCGAATTCTGAGAGGGTGGAAGTGCTCCGCCCGAGGGGTATCGAGAGGCTGTGGGGCACGTTTGCTGCTCTGGCACTGCCCGCCTCTTGCCAGCCGGTCCCGGGGGCATCTCGGCTGCTCTACGGGGAGCCCTCCACTTACAATCATTCATTCAGGGTTACAACGGCCCTGAAAAAACCGACCACCTGCCCAGGGTCCCTCGATCACAATTCAGATGCTTGGCAACTGACTCATACGACGGTTGCAGCATCCCATTCCGGGGTCACGTGATCCCCTTTTGGGGACCTGACAAAGTCAGTGGAGCAGCCAGATTCACTGAACCGTGTCACTCACTTAACAACTGCAGCGATTCACTTAACAACCAGCAAGAAAGGTTATAAACTGGGGCAAAATCCACTTAATTGTCCCACTTAGCCACTGAAACGTTGGACTCCGTTGCAGTTGCAAGTCGGGAACTGCCTCTATCCAGAGAACTGACTTATTAACAAAGGAGGGAGAAGAGCGGGAAGGCGGCGTCTGGAAGCCTTGCCCTTTAATTCTTAGGAAGAATACACTGCTGGGAGCTCCGCTTGGGACGGGTGTCTGGGTGTGTGTGTGTGTGTGTCTCTCTCTCTCTCTCACATATACACACACACACACCCTCGGCCCCACCCCGACTTCAACCTGGACGCCCCGACTCCCCCCTCCTTCCAGCGTCCCTCCGTGGCCCCACCCACCCTCAGGAAGCCCGGGGCGGGGCGGGGCCTGCGGCGTTGAGTGGCAGCCGCCCCCTCGCCTTTGTTCCCTGGTCGACGACATCGCGCCCTTGAAGCTCCGGCCAATGGGAGGCGGGCTCTGCCTCGGAGGCGGGACGCTGAAGCGGATTGACGCGGAAGGGAGCCACTGTGTCCTCCCTTCCCGGCGATTGGCGCCGCTTTCCTTCAATCAGAGAGGGGAGTCTGGCGGGCGTCCAATCCTTGGTGGGAAGGGCGCGGCTTCCTGCTGCTGTTATCGTCTGCCGCCCGTCCGAACGAGAGGAGGCCTGTCGGGGGCTTTGCTCGCGGGGAGCGGCAGGCGGGCGGTTACGGCGCGGTGGCTCTTCCAGCCGGGGACATGTCGAGGCGGGTGGGGCTCCGGCGAGTCGCTTGGAGGAGACGAGTGGCCGCCGAGGCGACGGCGGCGCCCGACTCGAGTTCCTCCGGGAGACTGCGCCGCTCGACGGCCCTCCGACCTTGAGCCCCGGGAGCGCAGGCGGACGCGGCCCGCGGAAGGCGAGTAACGGCGCTCCAGGAAGCCCCTCGGGCGCGGGACTACATCGCCCGGCGTGCACCGCGCCGAGGCGGAACCGGGCGGCGCGCGCTGCATCCCGGGGGCCCGGGGGGGGGGGGGGGGGGGGAGTGCTGGGCGCGCGGCATCGCGGGAAGTGTAGTTTTGGCCGGCAGAGGCGCCGCGGAAGAGCCTCCCCCGGCCCCGCCCCAGCGCCGCCGCCTCCGCCCCGGGCGAAGAAGGCCTGAAGGCGGCCTTGCTTGGTCCGCTGGAGGGTGAGCCCGGGCGGAGCTGCGGGGCATTTGCCCGGCCTTCCCGTGTCTCGGGGCCGCCCCAGAGAAGAGGAGGGGCGCGGCCTGTTCCCCAGAGGGCCCTGAAGGCAGGAGGAGAAGCGACGGGCGGAAACTCCTCAAAGGAGGGAAGAAGCAACCTGGAACTCGGGACCAGAGGAACCGAAGTTGCCTCCAGAGGTTGTGGCTGCTCCATCGCTGGGGGCTTTCGGGGAGAGACTGGACAGCCACTTGCCTGGAATGGTTGAGGGTCTTCTCCTGCCTTGAGCAGGGGCTGGACTAGAAGACCTCCAGGGCCCCTTCAAATGCTGTTATTCTGGCTCCACCAAGCGGACATTGTTCCATCTTGGGGTCCATGGAACCCACTGAGTTGCTTTGGAGTCTCATGCTAAATGCCCGCCCCGCCCCCCTCCGATCGAGGTGCCCTAACCAGGCTGGCCCCGTGGCTTGGGGGCCTGGCTCGAGGGGGCCCAGCCCGGCCTGTAAGGCGAGGGGGCTCCATCGCCACCCCTGAGCTGAGCTGTGGCACAAGTGGTCTTGTCTGCTAGCGTTCCTCTTGGGGCAGCAAAGGGCACCTCTGGGGGCACAGCTGGCACGGGGCTCTTCTTGAGGCTTTGGATGATCTCCGCAGTTCCCTTCCAGGCTTTGCTTGGCCCAACCGGTTCCAGCCTCCCCTCCCTTTCCTGGGGTGTAACCGGAGGACCCCTTTCCTTTGTCTCTGCCAGGGAATTCAACTGCACAGCAAAGCACCGAGGGCTCCTCTGGCACCAGGAAGGACAACAATGAAGCTGCTGGAAAACTCCAGTTTTGAAGCCATCAACTCCCAGTTGACAGTGGAAACGGGAGACGCGCATATTATTGGCAGGTGGGGGTGGCCGCTTTGGAGGAGGGGGCAGGCCTTGTGACAGGAGGTGTCCAACGGGGGTCAGTTCTGCGAAGGAGCCCCCGGCCCTCTGGTTAAGCGACTCCTTTGAGCCAAAGCTCTGCCCTTTGGCCGCCTCCCTTGAGCAGCCCTGGGACCCCCTCTTCGCTGAGCCGATGGTGGACATGCCTGATTGGGAACAGTTATTCCTCCCGCTATTTTGCTGGCTTCAGCGGCTTCTCTTTCCTGAGAGCAGCCTCTGCTCTCGGGGGCCCCTTTCTGCTCCTTTCCTTAATCCCCCCGGGTCTCTCTCCAGTCCCTGTCCTCATCTTTTGTTTTCGTACCTTTATCGAACCCTTTGGGTAATCACACTGGTGGCTTCACCCTTTCCCCCTCACTGGATCCTTTATCTGCTGCCAGGGACCACCTAGTTAGCTCCCCTCGGTGCCTCCCCTTCGGTCACTGCAACTTTTTAGCTGCCTCCTGAGGAGTCGTGGCTTTGTCCCCAGTTGTACCTGCCTTAAGGTTGGGCTGTGAGAAAGAACTGGCAGGACCCTTGCGGAGGCTCGGGGGCCCCTTAGCTGAAAGACCAGGTCCTCCATGCAGGACGGTCAATGATTTCATTATTATTAAATCCACATGCTGCCCATTCAGGCAACTTTGAATGAACGAACAAACGAATGAAGGATTATTCTGATTTATTGCTGACTTGCCTTGCTGGTGTGTTGAAAGATCTAAGAAGAGCCCCAAGGCCGGAAGAGGCTCTGGGCCCCTTGGGCTCACGTCCTGGTCTGCGCAGCAGCCAAGAGAGGCCACCGTCCGGCAACTGCCCCATTTCTGGCGGCCTTTATAGTCTGAAAAGAGAAGCTGGCCGGCTAGAAAACGGGTCCTTGCTTTCCCTGAAAAACGGGCTCCAGGCTCCGCTAGCTCAGGAGGAAGCGATGGCCCCGAAGTGACCCCCCTGGCTGGGGCTGGGGTGGGCCTGCCCTCTGGGCTCAGAGGGACCCCTTTATCTCCCCGCAGGATCGAGAGCTACTCATGCAAGATGGCCGGGGACGACAAGCACCTCTTCAAACAGTTCTGCCAGGAAGGTCAGCCACACGTCCTGGAGGCTCTGTCGCCGCCCCAGACCACCGGCATCAGCCCTAACCGGTAGGTGCCCCGCCCAGGCCAAGCCCCCCCCCCCCCGTGCAAAGCCCCCCCTCCTCCTCCTCCTCCGAAGGTGCGTTTGGCTGCACCACCAGTCGGCTGCACGAGCGCGGCTCCCGTGGGAGGAGGAAACAGAAGCGGGTGGGGGGGGTAATGAAGGGGCCTCTTTGCACGCTCCCCCTCTAGGCCAGCTGGTGGGGCTGCTTGGAGGAAGCCTCCCTTTCCCCAGTCCCTGTTGGGAGACCAGGGCAGTGTCTCTCCCGCCCTCCCAGTCGAGCTAAGCAGGGCCCAGATTGCCGTGAGAGCCCGGCTGCGCCTCCCAGGGAGGCAGGCCTGGGGCCAAGCGCTGCGTCTCTCGTGCCAGGCTCAGCAAGAGCCAAAGTGGAGACGAAGAAGGACCCCTCAGTGACAAGTGCAGCCGCAAGACCCTCTTCTACCTGATTGCTACCCTGAACGAATCTTTCCGCCCGGACTACGACTTCAGCGCTGCCAAGAGCCACGAGTTCAGCCGGGAGCCAAGCCTCAACTGGGTAAGTGGGCCCCTTGCCCTCAGTGCGCAGCCCAGTGGTGTCCGAGGAGGGCCTTCCCCACAGAGCTTCGCAGTCGGGGCCCCTCTTGCGCTGGGCTCTTGCTTGGGGAAGCAGAGGCCAGCCCTGGGCTGCTTTGTCCCACGTCCCGCCCGAGTTCCTCCCGCTGTAATCTGGCCTGTTTGGTCCTCTGAGTCGGCTCCTTCCCATGATCCCTTTCCCCTAGCGACGGTCTCCCAGCTGGCAGCCTGGGGTGAAGGTGCTGCTCCATCAGCGTCCGCTTTGGGCCTCCCGGGTCCCCTCTCCTGTCCGGGAACCGCAGGAGGCGCCAGTTCCTCCCCGTTTGCAGTTCCGGACGTGTCCACTTGGGGGTGTTTTCTAGGTGGTGAACGCGGTGAACTGCAGCCTCTTCTCTGCCGTCCGGGAGGATTTCACCGCCCTGAAGCCTCACCTGTGGGACGCAGTGGACCAGGAGATCTGCCTCTCCGAGTGCGACATCTACAGGTGGGGGGGCCCTGGGGGTGTGTGGGCGGGAGTGGGGCGTCCCTGAGTGAGGCCTCTCCAGCTCCCCTTCTGTGCCGCAGCTACAACCCGGACCTGGATTCGGATCCCTTTGGGGAGGAGGGCAGCCTGTGGTCCTTCAACTACTTCTTCTACAACAAGCGCTTGAAGAGGATCGTCTTCTTCACTTGTCGCTCCATCAGGTAAAGGAGGGCCGGGGGAGGCCCCCCCCGGGGGTCCCTGGCTCCCCACCCTCCGGGGGCTGTTCTGAGCCCCCTTTGTCGTTCCCCCCCCCCCCCCCCAGCGGCTCCACCTACCCGCACTCGGAGGCTGGGAACGAGTTGAACATGGACCTCAGCGAGGACGATGCTGAGGAGACCCCCGGCAGCTGCGACAGGGACGGGGGCAGCATGGAGGCGGAGAAGTGAGTAGCCCCCACCCCCGCCCCGCCCTTCCGGCTGCCGAGGGCCGAGGCTCCTCCTTGGGCCGGGCCTGGCTGCTGCTCGCCTGAGGGCTGCCCTCTTCTGCCGACAGGAGGCCGGTGGTCTGCATGTGATTCCCGGGCCGGGGGCTTCTCCCACGAAGGACGCCGCTGCCTGCCCTGCGGATGCTGCGTGAACAGTTGGTGCCAGGAGCCCCTCTGCCTGCCTGCCTGCGGATCCTTGCCTGCCAGCGGCCTTGAGGCTCCGCGTCTTTCCAGGGGACAGGCAGGGAGGGAGACCCGGCCCTCGCGCTGGCTGCTGCGGGGGCTCCTGTTAGCCTTGGGACCCCGGAAGGAGGAGCCGAATGGACGTGGGAACAGGACGGAGAGGCTCCGACCCCCCCAAGACTTTTGGCATCAAGTGGCTGGACTGGCCTTGGGGGGCCGTGGCAGGCTCGCTCCCCCCCCCCCCC